AGTGGCTTTTGGTAATCTTATGTAACAAATCTCTTTGAGTGTTACCAGACACTACAGAATTGGAATCAGCAGTTTGTATTTCCATTGTTCACTGAATGCCTTCATTCTTTTCATCAGTAATTGAACCATACATGTTCTTCATCTGTTCGACCCTTTGTCGAAGGGATTACAGAGCCTGCTCTTGGATTTTTATAGCTAGAACAAAAAAATAAATAAAACAGGCTTTGGGCTGCTATGAAGTCTCCAACAGGATTGTCTCAATACATCATGGCAGAGAAAAAAAACGTAAGTATACATTGGCAATTACTAGTGTGTTTCTCTTCTACTTTGTAGACTTGGCACAACAATGCCTAAGATACAGTATGCTTGCAGCTGCTCAGTCACAAACTAATCTCTGGAAAATGTAAAGAAATGGCTTGAGAACAAAAGTGTTCCAAATGGTTGGAGCTCAAGTGCTCTAATTTTCTACTAACCTCATTTTAAGAAACTGACATATTGAAGGTGTCTGGATCCAAAGCCGCCAAACTTTCATTAAACTCCTTGAGGAATTCTCTCAGCCTGCTCTGTAGAAGAAGACACCATTCAAGAACTGGGCTGCAGACCCCATAAATAGACTAGAGGCTTGTTTTGAGTGAGGACAATACAACTTCCCCTTTTGGAGCTACTTGTTGACCCATGACGGGTACTTTTCTAGTCAAATAAGAGACAACGGCTCACTTTGCAGACTTAGTCTTCTCCAGGAGGATCAGACACTGTGTAATCCGCAAGGTAGCCTACTGTACATCCTCAGACATGGTCACCTGCATGGAAAAATGTGAGGTGCTCCTTAATCACTTTAAGTTTTTAACATTTTTAGTCTTGCTCTTTCCTCAACTTCTCAGTCCATTACAGCACAAAACAAAAAATAATTAATTGAAAGGAAATATGATGTGTTAGTTAAGTAAAGCAATAACTTAGAAACTTAGAAACACAAGACAGAAACACTGTACCCAAAAAAAGCCCCAACATTTACTCCTGTTCGATAAGCTCATACTGTACACATACTTTATTTACATGTTTTTTTTACTATTTTACTACTCTTATGCTGTTTGCTGAACGTGGATTCAGTGTTTTAGAATGTTTTAGCTAAAAGCTGCTTCATATATAGATTATTTTTGAAGACCCACGTTAAGTGTCAAATGGAGCATAGAGTAGGGCAAAATGGATTACATTTTACTGGTAACTATAATTATTTTCTTGCCATTTTGTGCTGTTTTGTTTTTCTGTGGTCCAGCCCACAGGTTTACCAACTGACTAAGTCACTTGGAGGTAATGTGATAGCCATTAACAGTGTACAAGAGCAAGCTGCCCATTAATAGTCCAATGCATGCCAAAACAGAAAAAAATAATACTTCCTTGTAGCACCCAACAAAATGAAAAACAAAGCATTCCAGGGGTAAACATACTCTAGACAGCTGGTAATTAATTGGAAAAGGAGTATCCGACAAATAGTGTTGCGCAACGTTGAAAATGTCTGGATGATGTGGATGTCTCAAGAGCACATGAAATGGAGGCATCTTTCAACAGGAGTTTAGTTCCCTGTTCCAACATTAGCCACGGTTCTGATCCCCTGAAAGGGGAAAAGGCTCCGATCACCAGGGAGGGCAAATTTCAATGCCATGCACCGTAATCTGCCAACAGCCCTTTAAGACACACATCGGAATTTGCTGATTCACTGGTCCTCTTTGATTTCACTTAACTGGTAAAATACTTTTGAGTGGAACTAGAAAAATAAACACTCTTCACTAAAAACAATACAAAGTTGACCGTAACAGTCAAATCATTGTTGACAATTTAATGCTCAGTTATGTCTGGACTGGACTTTGTGTTGGCTAGTGCGACCACGCATCATGGGGTTATTCATACCAAACAAATTGAGAACATAAATAGAGGTGCCAGAAATTTAACACAGTTATGTACATTGAAAGCTGATATTCTCTTTAATCATTGAGCACAAAGTGCAGACCTGTCTTAAAGTGGTTATAGCTCTCTTTAAGTCAAGAGGTAGAACTATTTAATGTGATTTCCAAAACTTTTAAATCTTGATGACACAGGCATATGGCAAGATAAATGAAAAAGACCAACTGAATACATCAAAAAAATCAATCTGACTGTAAAAACAGTGACCCTCCCAGTATTGCCAGGCTCACTGTCAATACACATGAAGAAACTAGCGGAGAAGAACCTTCAGTATCATGCAGACCTGCCAAAATCATGTAAGCAATTTCAACAAGTCAAAAGTATAACACAAAGACCCCTTTCCAAATCAAATCATTATTACTAGTCCCTTTCACGGGTTCCAGAGTCTACACGTAATAAGTGAAAAGGTCATCAACTAAAACAGTTGTCATACAAATGTAATAACGGCACAGTTCACCTCATATTTATGAAAACAATAGGAAGCTATCAGTCTACTAGCCATGAAAGAAACTCCCTGGGGGAGTGACTATTTAAATACTTCCAAAGAAAATGCGAAGAAGACAGTCGTCTTGCCAGTACACCCATAACACTAAGCTCCACAGTTTTTGGGAAGCTCGGCCTAAGCCATCTTCACAAGATCATTACTATTGTGAACTAGAATGATTTACAATAATTGCTGGTAATTCAGTTTCGGCTAAAGCAACTAATGGAAAGCTGAAGTCATAATCCCATTATTCCACAACACTGATATTAAATCATTGTGCATCATGTACTGTATGGGCGTTTTCCTTAACTTAGCTTAATTTCCTTCACCGGGATTCCTGTTTTTGGCATGCCTGCTACTGTAGATTTTATTGGGGGAGCTATGAATGATAGTGCACTTGGGTTTGGGCAAAAAAAAAACAAACAAGAAAAGCACTGCTGAGAGAGAGCTTTCTCTATCACTCTGAGTATCATTACAATTCGTATTTGTTTTAGAAGGAGACAAAAAATAAGTTTCACTGTGACAACTATGGGTTTTATTTCTGCGTTTCTGTAGAAATTCTGTTGTAAATGTTATGGTCCCAGCCAAAAATTAGTTGCCTATTGACTCATCCAGCACTTCTGTCTGAATGGGAACATTTTAAGAAATGCTGCTAGTGAAAATAGTTCAGTTGAGGTTGATTTGGAGCGACTTTAAACTTTGTGCATTAATAAAAAAACTGCCTCTTATTGGCAGGTGGTTACATAAAATTCACCAAGACGACAACAGGGGGACTACCGAAACAGAGCCAGTGTTTTACAAATAATTACTGTGAAGACAAACCAAGATAGCATCAGACACTGGGTAATCCCTGGGATAAATTCTAATGGCTTAAAAACAAAGGGAATTTGACCAACTTTGCCAAATTCCAAACTGTAGTTTCTGCAAAGTCAATGTCAGGCCAAACCCAACTCAAGACCACATTTTGTATTACATTTCCAAACCTCCTACCATCCAGAAGTTTCTGATTCATGTTTAGCTGAGAAAAACCTCCAAGCCAGAGTAACATCAGCATCTTTTCAATGTTCCAGACTGTTAACTTTAAATCAAAATCCTCTGCAGCCCAAGCTACTCAAATTAATTTCATCTACATCTAAGCAGATATGGTATCATTATTGCCTAAAGATGCAACGACAGCAACTGTACTTACTAGTTGGAAAATAATAATTTGAATAAGAATATCATAAGGACACTAATCAGATTCTCATCCTCTACACAGCTTTTACATCACAGTTATGTTGGTGTGTGCCAGGAATCCCTTCCATCTGAACAGAGGAGTGCACTTGAAAAGATATGGGATACTTTGATTGCTACAGAAAAAAAGTTATTTTTAGTAGAGCAAGTTATTTTATTTTAGCTTTCAGACGCCTTCAAGATCAGAAGAGCCATTGCTTGTCTGTGATTCTGAAGCATAATGTAGAATGAGAGTATAAAACACCAAATGGAGGAGATATTAGCCCACCGGAGGTTAACCACTCAAACAGTGCTGGTATTGACATATGCAGCCATGTCACCATGCAACTCACATCTGGCAGCCCACTGAAGCTCAGCAGGTGTGAGCCTGGTTCATATCTGGATGGGAGACCTCCTGGGAAAAACTAAGGTTGCTGCTGGAAGAGGTGTTAGTGGGGCCAGCAGGAGGCATTCACCCTGCAGTCTGTGTAGGCCCTAATGCCCCAGTTTAGTGACGGGGACACTATACTGGAAAAAGACGCCATCCTTTGGATGAGACAGAAAGCCGAAGTCCCGACTCTCTGTGGTCATTAAAAATCGCAGGTCGTTTCTTGAAAAGACAAGGGGTGTAACCCCGGCGTCCTGGCCAAATTTCTCATTGGCCCTTATCAGTCATGGCCTCCTAATAATCCCCATCTATGAATTGGCTTCATCACTCTGTTCTCCTCCCCACTGAGAGCTGATGTGTGGTGAGCGTTCTGGCACACTATGGCTGCCGTGACATCATCCAGGTGGGGCTACACATTTGTGGTGGTGGAGGGGAGTCCCCATTACCTATAAAAGCGCTTTGAGTGAAGTGTCCAGAAAAGCACTATATACTGTAAGTGCAAGTAATTATTACAATAATAATAATACAGCTGGATGTCTGAAGCCATCAAGGCAGAGGTACAATAATTCCTAATGGGCTTGATACTAGGACCATCTAATATGAAATCAGGGACCACACCACAGGTACATGTGTAGCCATTTTTTTATGGTTGACATCTAGTTATGGTTATTCTTTTAGGTTGAGCAGTCTCCATAAGAAAGGAGTGAAAGCAGATGGGATACGGTCATGACCATTGTTTAACTCTTTGGGTGAAGTTGCTGGAGTTCTTTTTCCATGTAGTTGTACAAAAAAAAAAGATTTGGGAAACTGAGTCTTCCCTCCAGAAGAAAACAAGACAGAAACAGAAATGAAAGGTACAGCACTTCCCCTTCTGTCTCACGTGCACATACACACTCATTTTTAGTGAGGCTGGCAGTAAACTAGTTTTAAAACACAAGAAATTAATAAAGTTCTTACCTTCAGAATGTACTTGTGCAAGTCCAAGGTAACAAGTACAATACAAAATGGTACAGAGAATTAGGGCTCTCCTGTGAAAGTCAGAAAAAAAACATATGGTGAGAAAGTTTCTATTAAAAAGTGCCAAGAACAAATCAAATGATTGCAATCCCTGAGGCCATTACATAAGTAACAATAATCAAATTTCCTGGCCGACGTGACAGCAGGAATTACATTTCTATTAGAATAATTGATACAGTAATTACACTAAAGTTATTAATGTTTTGAACTTGTTAAAACATAAGCTGCACACCTGTTATAAATATCCTAAAGTAATATGGTGGGGCTGACGGCCCTGTTATGGTTCTTTGAAAATGGTGGTCTTGGGAGTGTTTTCCACACAGAATTCCTGCTTACAATAACTGTGAGGGGGACTTCTGTTTACTTAGCCAAAACATTTTGACAAGGAACATGCTGTGTCTGCCTTCTGAGTTCATGTAAAAGGTAAGTAATGGTACAGATGTGCATCTTTAAAACAGCTGGTACACACGCAGCAAAGTCAACAGATTAAATTATATCTCAACAAAAAAAAAACTCAAGGTAAAGATAGCACCCATTTATTCATGTAACCTTCATTGACACCAGGATAAACACACAAAACCTTTCAGATGAACTGTTTTGAACAATGTGTCATTTGTGTTAGTTCATACATTACCACATATGATGAAGCTCTGCTTGAGCTCACCGAGCAGTAAAAAGCATACCTTTCTCAAGGATGCATAGAGCTCTATATTTAGAGACACTGCAATCTTGTTAAATGGCAAAAAAATGTCCTTATTTGAAATGCCACATAGAATTCACTTAACCTACAAGACACTGCCAGATCGGAGTTGTCTGTGAAAGACGCCGAGTTTTCATTTTGCAATCAGAAGAAACATACCAGAAGCGATATTTTAAAGACTTCACAGATTTTAACTATGGTAAATTTCTAACTTTGACTGAAATGGAAAAAGAAAATAATGAACTATCTTTAGCCTCATATTAACACTTCACGTTTAAGGTCCCAAATTCCATGTATAGTTTTTCTAATAGATACTTCAACATTAATAGTTTAATGTATATATGAAATGTCATTTGCAGCCACTATACTGAAGAGTTCATCTTCCTGATTAGATTCCATTCCTGCAAGAATATTTGTGTTACTATTTCTAAACTAAAGAATCAAAACAATGGTTTATTCCTAGAGGGCATGGTCATAGCACTCCACAGCCTGCCCATGAAGACATAACCCAGGCCACAGTGCCAAGAAGTAAAAAAAACCCACAATAAAAACAACCCTAAACCCTACTTCTAGGGAGCAATGGACATTGTTTTAAAAATAAAAGTAATGCGCTTACCCATCCTCCAGAATTCCTTGTGTTCTTTCTTTGAATAACTTAGAGTTACAAAACAGACAGGAGATTTTTAGGTAAAGTGTCTATAATTGAACATTAGGCTGTTTTTTTATATTTTGTGGTAGATTCAGACCTGTCATTCTTAGTAAGGGAACTAGCCTTCACAAAAGTGTAGCTGTATAATTAATGGAAGTCCTGCAGTCCAGTGTCGAAAGTACAGGGGTGTTCCAAATAACAAATGCATAAGGTACTGTAGCTATAGCCCTGTGGTCAAACTCTTATTAGCCATTATTAAACAGGTTCCAAATCAAGAATACTGTAGTCTAATACAGACATATTAAAAAACACATTTTTAAAGAACAAAAATTAAAATTTGGGGTCTAGAATACCAATTGGTATGCTCTCAAATGTTCAGAATTATCATGTTACATAGTTGTGGCAAGGAAGATCTGTTTATCATTTAGTCTTCCTTTCCAATAATCATTAAAAAGCAATGAGTGAAGATGAAGAGAAAGGAAGAAAAACAAGCAATACAGTAAACTAAAAGTAATAGCACTACTTCCACTGAAGTACTGGATATAACCTCCCCCGCAGAAGGAACAGCTGTTTGGAGCTGTGTAAGAACAGTCCGCAAAAGTTTATCAGCTCTGCTGCAATCCAACGCTTTAATTGCACGGTGAGTCATACATTTTTAAAGCTGCTTTGGATCAAATCGAAAGCGCTCTTCAGCTCCCTTTAATTTATGCTTTGTTGTGAAGTTTTTGTGTAGTAGGAATTCTATTTTTTCTAACGCCAAAAAAACATTTTTTAAAAATAGAAAAGGCGTAAGGAAACAAATACTTGTTTGGGAGATGCAGGAGTAATTTTCAAAATATGCCACAATACTTTTTGTTCCTGAGATAAACTGAGCCAGAGCTGTAACAGCACTTTGGAGCAATGGCACCCTATTGTTTTATAAAGGAAAAAGGTGTTGCTTTGAACAAATTCAAAGGAAGCCTTGTAAAATAGCATACATGAATATTCTGAGCAGTTATTCAGAATCTTTCCCATATTCTGTGCAGCTTGTAGTATTTGCACTACATAAAATTAACTATTGCACTATTAGCAGAAACAATTATTTTGCAAGACTTATTGCATTTGTATGAAACCTAACTGTTATGCGATTGTTCAAATCACTTTGCACTGCTGTGTAATTTCAATCTATTCTAAATCAAAGTGAACTTCTGTTCACAAAATAGGTATTGTAAAAAAATTAGTTATATTGTACTAGCTATTTTTCAATGGAGTCCTAATACACTCCCATATTGAACCTTCCATCTTGCTCAATACTTACTGATGTCATGTTGTTAAAATCTAAACCAAGTCCTTTTGAAGCATCTTCTCTCCTCCAGAACCTCTTATTAGATACAAATCTTGAAGAACAAACTTCTTGTCCTAATCATCCTTAATGCTTCTTTTGGCCAAATTTCTACAGTGGATAGTTCAATGACGAAAAGCACCCATTGCTGGAATTTTAATGTGCATCTCTTTGTTAGAGTGAAGCAGATTATGATGTCCTCCACAAAAAATGCACTTTTACCTGGAGTTTTGTCTCCCCACATTGCAATACCCAAGGTTGGTTTGGCTTAAAATCAATCAAAGGTCAGGGGTGGGTTCAGAGTTCCACAGTCACTAATTGTTCAAGTTCAGACACAAGTTTCTCACAGCTGCATGCAGTTATGAAGCCTAAACACAAGACTATTTACTGCTATCCTTCCATCTTCAACCCCTTACATCTTCTCTCCAACCCCCAAACCCCATTCTGTGGTCAACTGTCCCCTGGAGACCAGCGGAGGAAAGGAGAAGCCCAGCCATCTCAAACATGCCAAAACAACGGAAAACCACCAGGACAACCACAGCCCTCTGCAGCTGATCGTGGTATCGCCACATCCAGGGAATTGCCACTCAGCAGTTTCTAGTCTCCATGACCCAATCCCTGAGCTTATACTTTACATTCACGTCAGCTGCTGTCTGTGTGGTAAAGGCGAAGAAAAACAGCATCCACAGTACACGGCTGTGGCTCACTGCAAGTCTGAAAGCCCTTCATGTTAGAATCAGGATCCTGGAAAGACCCAGCATAAAAATCAAAGGCTTATTTTCAAGACGTGCTCAGTACCTCTTTTTAGTTGAGCTGCAACTAGGTGGCCATCCAGTTTTGCACATGATAACCTATGCAGACTTCTGATACAAGGACTGACTGCTGACTTACTGTAACTTCCACTACTGGCACCGTGAATATCTGGCATATGGCATCATATACAACAGAAAATTAGGCACGGTTCAGGCAGATCCCGATGCCCCTCAAAACATTATGAGCAGCATCCACGCATCACATTCACAACAGCTGAGCCCATCTTGGTAAGGAAAGCTTAAATTTGCAGTCCAGCTGTCCAGTTTGGTAGCAGCCCAAGGTCAGGATGTAGTTCACATGCTTAATTGCTTTGGTGTTATGGGGAGATACTTTCAAGCTACTATCTCCTCTTCTTCCTAGATTTTTTACTAGGCAAAACCAGTTCAATCTCATCTTAAATCTAGCTAATGTCTCTTAATTTGCTCTTATGCAAAAGCTTTATGTACAGTATAAACAAGTGTACTGAGCAAAAAGAGTGTAGGTTTTGGGGGTCAGTCATATACAGGTAGCAGAATATTAGAGTGCAAAACAGCAGGAGGGCAGGCTGACCTACAATTTATTTCACCTAATTCAACTTGCTGCCTTTATTTTACTCTTCATCTTTAGAAATTCCAGGGCCCCTCAGATGCATATCCCTACCCCAGATTAAGTGATACCTGTAGCTCACTATTCAAATCACCTAGTGGAAAATTCCTGCTGATTTCAGACACTGGAGCATTGAAAGTAAAAAACAAACAGCAGCCAAAGTTCTCCTTTCAACTTTTTCCCCTGGGGAACACCCAGTTTTCAGGGAGGTAATTAAAAATCTGATAGTATGATCCCCCCCACACCCACCGACACACACAAGCCTCCACCCCCTAGTCCTCCCAGCCTTTAAATATGGAGCACGTGTTTGAAGATAAGCAAAATGCTCTTCGTTATGCTCCTTAAAGTTAAAATTCAGAGAGCCCAAAGTATGTTTTCATGTTTGATAGTTCCAACTGCAACATAAATGTATATCTCACTCTATGGCTCTGCTGATAAGGACATTAAAGTAAACTGATTGATTAATTGATTGATTTAATGAAACCAGAACTGTGTGGTTTTCCTCTGTTTTAAAAGGATATTTAATCTTTTAGAAAATTACGATTGGAAGATCCAAAAGGAACCACAGAGAGATAAAGGACACTAATAAATCTGTCCAAAGTCTGGCTATGTAGTAAAATACCATACGGGTATTCTGTTCTTTTCTACTTCCCTTATCAAAGAACTGTTAAATCAGACTATTAAAAATAATTATTAACATCACTGCTTTTGGGCATCTCTGCCAAACGAAGAGGCAGGTAGTGCGACATCTGGCGGTCTGACTAAACTGGCACAGCTCTTGGGTTACAAAGTATTAAGCAGGAATATACTGTACAAACAGTTCCCCACAGTCAAATGTTTAACTTTTCTGTTCCCAAACAGTAACATTTTACTGCCAATAGACAAAGGAAAAAAATACAATATATATACACAACTAGAATGAGCTAAGAATTAGCTGAAAACATTTAATACATGTTACTTTTGAGTAGTACTTGCTTAGCGCAGCACAAGTAGCTACTGTAAGAACAAACAAAACGTTAAGTCCGGGGTGTTAACGGTATCTTAACAGATGGAAAGGGTTAAGTTAACTATAGTGTTGTGTTATGTAAATGATCATGGAAACCTCTAAAGTACTTCAAGAACCATTTCCACTATGCTTTGAAGTGAATAAGGCATGTTACGTCCATGTCATCATTAACTCTGAACGCTTCTGACTGATTTATTCAACAGACATTCCCGATTTAAACGGTACCTGCACCCCAAGTAGCATAGGGATGGCAACAGACCATAAAATCATTTCAGAAGCCCTCCATCACTTGACAATTTGGGATAGCGTGCTCCTTACGTGTCATGATGTACACACAGAAACCCATTCAGGGCAAAAAGTTTCCTGTAACATACCTCTGTTTTAACTGGAAAGAACACATCCAATGCGCCGTAGATCAAAACTAATATACTGTAGTTGCAGAAACTTTTTTCACCCCTGCAGTGTCGAAACTAATTTTAACTAGTGGTGAAATCTATCCAGTTGGTAAAAAAATAAAAGTTGCAGCGAAGTCGCTGACTTTCTCCGCTAACTTTGGAGAATTTTGACAGGGCGCTGTGGCAGAGCAGTTTGTGGGAATGTCTCTAAATTACTGAACTAGGCAGTCATAATTACGGTTTGCAATTTATTCTTCAAGTGTAACGTTATATACGGTATTTTTAGTTAATGCCATGACTCTTGTTTTATTGCTTTTCTAATGAAAATGCCACTTGGTTATACATAGTTTTAGGGGAATTTTGTGTACTTTCAAAAATGTATCCTTTGAAGACTTTTCCACTGAATTAATAGAATTTACACATTATGTGATGTTTTAGATTCTGTCAAATTTAAAAATCAGAGACCCCCCGTTATGAAGATTTTAAGTTAGCTCCTTAGACTGAACAAACCACTGTCAGTACTTCTGTTGTATCAGCGACAAAGAAACCTTTAACGGAGTGTTAAAGGAAAACACGTTGTACATGTTCTGTGATTCCCATAAATCCGACTGATTTTCTTCGTTCGCCGAGGTAGATTTACCCAATGTCAGTAAATTAGCCGTTACATTTTGAGAAAATTACAGAAGTAATCAAAAAGTAAAAAGTGTGCTTAGGTTTGTTCAAAAGTGGTCACTTAATACACCCAATGGTTTCCCTGCAAATGCAAGGATAGAGGTTTCCCTTCTACTAAAGCTTGGAATGAAATCTGCTTTCAGCGATGCACGTAGTTTCTACTCACCCCCCGACTCCAGCTGGTTTGAGTTTGGAGTCCGGGGCATTATCCGGCTCCATCACGGTTACTTCATTCTTTCTTGGTATTTTTTACAGCAGTCCAAATTTATGATATATATGCACTTTATTTCCATTCCAGCGAGTCCCTGAAACTTTTTGACAACGTCGACAAAACTGCAAGAATGCCTTAACAAGCGATTCTTTCCTTTTGCGCGGCCGGTTTGTGTTTTGCCTCTTGGAGATGCACTAGTAGTCTAATTTTATTGAGCTCCATCTGTAGTTCTTAGCTTTCCGCTAGGACATGTTTTACAACTCGGAGAAAGAAGTCCAGGCATCCAAAGGCGAAATGCCCTACAATGTATGAATAAACCTTTATGACGAGCCCCATGTACTCCGTAGATAAAGACAGATGAAGGTCAATATTCAGCACTGAAATGCTTCTCAGGCAAGCCAAGACGAAGAGGGAGATCTGGCCATGAAAACCACTTCTCTCTGTCGCCCTCAACTGTCTCTGAGGGAATTTGTTTTTTTTTTTTAATAGATCCAGGTTACGAACAAGGTTATATTGCTATGTACTCTGCTTTTTAATGTCACTATGTCGGCAGCGCTATGCAGTGATTAGTTGTTAAAGCAATACGAGAGCGGCTACGAGTTTTAAGAATCTGATCTAAGTTAAAACAATTTCTACACAGCGTCTGGAAGAGCTTCTATAGAGCTTACTGTATGTATCGGAAGCCACGTACTGAAACTTTTAAAATCCAAGCGTTACCAGATTCATTCATTCAAAAACGTGATTCACATAATCACGAGATCTCTTCATTCACATGAAGTTATAACAATGTACACATCACGTCCAAGGTACATTTTGTTGTTGTTTTTTTAAGATCTTTATAAATAGGTGACACTTCATTTCCGCCAAACCACATCTCAGCATCACCGGTGTACGCAATTTTAACACTTACTTTGTAGCGAGTTGAGAGGTTCTGCAATCTCTCCTTCGGATCCCTAAATTCATTTGTATTCATTTGTCCCGGCAGTCAAAAACCTGATCCTTTAATCACAACGTGACTCCTCAGCTAAGGGACAGAAAGCACCAACTGGCTTCTTGCGCATTGGATACGCTTTTAACAACAGTCCAGAAAGAAGTTCTCATACAGTTTTGCCTAGAAAGCCCAACATAAAATCCTACACTCTGAAGGAGAGTTTGACGGAAAGTTTCCACGAGTAATTTTCTTCTGGTTTTCTCTGTAATTTATTCATTTATGCCAATCCGCATTTGGGAAATTTGATTGCAGAAAGACTGGTAGCTGAGGGAGGGGGGGGAGTTGGAATCAAAAGTCTCTAGTTGGAAGAGTAAGGCTCATCCTTTTCCCTTTTAAATAGTTTTCAGTCAGTGACTGGAGCTTTGGTTGGAATACGCCAGGTGTCCGATTACAGCAAACATTGGTTCTAATGAGAGGATATATACTGCCTCTAGGGGCAGGACATACACACACAAGCACAGCGTACCCATTCATTCCTCGTCTCGCTTGTACCATGGGAAGAGACGGACGTCAAGAATTACACTGTAAAGAGAATACAGTGATCCGAAAAAAGAGATCGGATATCGTCTTGTCCTGGAGATAAACACGTTAAACTCGGGCACTGAAATTATGTATCCTGTGAGTATTGCACGCCAAACAAATATACTCGTTCGTAATTCAATCAACCTTTTTGTTTTAAGGAATTTAAGTCACAAACGAAACGGGGGATTCGTCTGTTTAGGATGTTCTGCTTATAAGTAATGTAATATTATTATATATAGGACAAATAAGACAGCTTTCAGTTGGAGGAGAAACTAACATTTAAATATTTTCCTTTTCCAGTTTTCTGCATCCAAAGACACAAGACGCCTTAAAATTATCTGAGCTGTGTCCTGAGTTATTTATGTAAGGTCAAGCAATGTCATCGGAAGAAAAGTACTTTTTTTTGCGGAAGCTATCCTGTTTTCAGATAAGTTTTAGTCCATCCAAACCATGATTTCATTTTTTTTAAATGAGACTCGTGTTCAACTAATACTTTACAAATTAGTCCATTTCAAGTTGTTCTCATTTCTGCAACTGCCCAAAATTTTAATTTACACATAAAAAAATCCGAGGAGACTTGAAACTATCCTTTCCAACGTGAAAAAACAACCAAAAGTCCAATTAATCAATGTAAATATTAGTTCCCTGAAACAATTTACAATTCAACTGGATAAAAAATCAGCAAACATCAGTGTTATCAGGCTTGTGAAGTCCTGCTCTAGTGCACAGTGCTAATGTTTTCTGGGATTTCAAACTTAAGCATGTAAACAAGTCCAGTACATGATATTCAAAGAACAGAGTTACCTCTGTCATTTACATTTACCCAGTTTGGGGTTTTAACTAGGTTGCGCAGAAATTTATTTCACATTGCCTGAAATGTCAGCTGTAATAGAACACAACTGTGCTGGCGACTGTATTTGGTGTCTGGAGTGCCAAATATTGTCATTGCCAAATGTCTTCATTTGAAAGTAAATGGAGAGAGCACTCTACTCCACTACAGTATTGAATGTACTGATCAGCAATAAAGTATTCTATGGGACATGACTCGGCCTGCGGAAAGTCAGAATCAGGTTATTTATTACATTATATCTGAAGTTGCTTCTTTAAAATATCCTCCTTGTCATCTATTGCATCCATTTTATTTTTTTCCATTTTAGATTTAAATCATTAAAATGTTATATGTGTGAGTGGGGTGAGAAGGGGGGTATACATCCCCTTTGCAATTTGTTTCCATTTATCCTACAGCCACACAGTACAGGATCTAATCTAATAAAAAAGGGGGTCAAGTCAGTTTCTTTAATATGAGCATGGAAGAATACCCATTGTACATACATGGTGCTGCTTTCACAGCGTTGTGATTGAAATAATCCATCTATCCATCCATTTTCTAACCACTTCTTCCAATTCAGTGTCGCAGGGGAGCAAGAAACGATTCCAGCAAGCACCAGGCACAAGGCAGGTTACCCCCTGGACAGGACGCCAGTCCATTGCAAGGCACACATACACAGAGACAAGCATGCACACATTCGCACCGGTGCCAGTTGTCTCAGAAGCCAGTTAACCTACTAGTATATCTTTGGACTGTGGGAGGAAACTGGAGCCCCCGCTGGAAATGTCCGCAAACACAGGGAGAACATACAAACTCCACTCAGACACCACCCCAGGGCTGGAACTGAACACAGGGCACCAGCACTGCAAGGAAGCAATGCTAACCACTGCACTACTGTAGCGCCCATTTCAATAATCTTGCTAATGAATAAACAAGCATACAGTCCTGAAAATTCAACATAATCGGATTTCTAATGGAAAAAGTTGTAATGACTTTTTATCATTTGCTGTACCGACTTCATGTGAAACAACTGGGATAAGGTACTTTTGCATGTTCTCTCAAAAAGCCTACCAAAAAAACTGAATGGTCATCATGCCTTATGTAATTATGCAACCTCACTGACTGTGAAGTACATCCTCATCCCTTAACCTTCCTGTGGCTGCACAGACAGTAACTATACTGCATTTGCAAGTTCAGTGGGAGAGTAGAACCCATCTTTTCAAGAGGAGATACAACTATCCATTACGGAGAGCAATGATGCACAAATAGACAGGCTTTGTGTAAACATAGGGTCAAAGTCAGACACTATGATTTTGAAAACAAAAGAAGAAAACAAAAGCAAGTGAACTGATATAACGTCACCTGCAAATCATGATTTTCTGCAACACCGTGACGTGTGTTGATGGGGGTGGTGTCCATCTTGAATGTTAAGTTTGTGCTTTGAATGTGACACCTTTCAACTGAAACAAAACAATATGAGGGACTTTCATCAAATTAGGAAAGAGTCTACCTGCCCTTTTCTATTTATGACTGATTGTTAGGGACAGGTTACATTGAATATCAGCATGTTCTTTTGTTTACAATCTCATCATTGTGACACATAAAAATCACAATAGAAAACGAGAGAAAGTCATCTATGTTTTTTGCAAGCTATGACTACATGGATTGGGACTACAATCAACAGAGATCAATACTTCAAAACTGAAACTACTTGAAGATGAAGACCCTATGAGCAATGAGGCATTTGGTTTCATTTAACACAAGCATTGAAGATCTGTTACATAGAAAACCAGCAGAGGTTCAAAACCATTAACGTAATGTTTTATGATGAGATGGTTGCTTAACTAATATGGGATGAGTTACATGCTCTGCAGTTTTCCCACATTACTCATTATGTTGTGGTTAAACAAACAAATATGATTACAATATGTGAATGGATAGTCATCCAGCATTGGAGGCAAAAAAAAAGATATACCACAATTTTCTCTTTTCTGTTAATGAAAATAGAAACATAATAGAAACAAGATTTTCGTTACAGCAATAGAAATTCATCTCCTGACTAACAGACCATGTAATTTTGAAACTAAGAAATCTCTGCTCCTGTGTACTTTAGGGTGGCTAACGTCAAAAGTGACAAGATAAACATCTGTAAAGCAATAAAGTAAAAATCAAAATATGGGAATGCCATAAAAAGTGTGCAAAACACAAATTGGTATTATACAGAATCCATCATGCACAACTCCATGCTATAGAGAGTCAATGTGAGACTAGAACATAGAGTGCAAAGCAGAAACACACTCTGAGTGAGACTCCAGTCCATCAATCATTGGGAATACTCAGGGGGGAAATTAGAAACACCAGTCAACCTACCCAACATGTGTTAGAGGCATTAGAGGAAATCAGAGCACCTGATTCCTCAACTCAGAATTGAACCCAGGATCCAAGAGCTGTCAAACACCTCTAACGCTGCCCCAAAACTGCTTATTTTATCATTATGATTATAATGTCTTGTGTAGCAGTTATTAAGGGATTATGAAGCCGTTATGCAAAAACATTCAAATAAAGCGTCACCAAAGATTCTTGTCTGCTAGGGTCAGGCTTTTCCTCTTGTGAATTACAGAAATGTCTTTCTGTCAAATCTGAACTAGCTCCTACTGTACCTTTAATATTGGTAATAGTAGAGCTTTCAAGTGCTGCTAAAAGGGATAAAATAGCTGATGCACCATGAGGCTCCATGAAAAGTTATTGGGGCTTAACAGGCTGTGTGTGCAAAAGTCATCTGAGGCTTTCCTCACTTCAGTGTGACGTTTTGTAGTTAAGCTTTGCCAGCTGTCAGTCAGTACCAAGTCATCTGAACTCAGGGCAGGCTAATTTGATTTCAGTTGATACTGCCATATTGTGAATTTTTTAATGTGATGTTTCAGAGATCTTTTACTTGAATTTAAGATACGGTTGTTGAACTGTCATGTCAGCCCATCTCAGACTGTCGCCGGCCATTTTCCTCTCTTACTGCCTGTGGCTCCGATTAAAGATGAAATATCTCAGGAACATACGTCCAAGTTTGTGAAGGGTCCAGCTGAGGCAGAGGGGGTCTTTCGATGAACCCGTGTATAAAAGTGTCTCACCAAATAACACCCCCTTGTCAAACTGTATTTGAACGCCCCCCCCACACACATACACCAAATCGCAATGAAACTCTATAGCAGGGGTTTCTCTGTTTTCCTCTCCAGGCACCCTGCCCATATTTTAAGAAACCCCACTCAATCAAGCAAACCTATTTACATATACAATCAACAGTCTTTAATT